AGACTGAAAATAAAGGTGAACTGTCTGGCAACGACATCTCTTGTTTGTGAGTGTAAAAATAAAATCCTGAAGGATTCTTTGCTAACAGCTGCTTGACTGCTGGAGCTGACCAATATGGGTCTAAGCAGTCCCTGGGTATGTTTTGTTAGTGTTTGGATGTTATAAATTGCTTATTATTTGGGCATTTGGTGGCATGTTCAGAGCCATTGCATATATACCATTTGATCTTTGGATTTAATAATGGATTTTAGGGGTAAATTGGTGTCATGTGGTTTCCCATATTAATAATTTCAGCAGGCGATATGGGGGCTTTGAGAAGGGGAATAAACAGAGGGGAACAACTATAGGAGAAAAGCACTGAATTTAGCTGGGGAGTAGGGAGCAGAGCCAAGCCAAGGGCTGAGCAGCAGGTAGCCCTGCTGAGCATCTGCATCTGAGGACAGCTCATTTGGCTCCAGTCCTTATCCCTTTATATGTCCTATGCCACAGGCCATCTATCCATTCCTGACACTGTGCACACACCCTTTCTCTATCATTCCCTCTACAGCTATGCAGAACCCTCCATACCTCCTGTGCCTGTTTCTCCCTAGGCTTAGTGCTGAATTAAGGCGTAAGATCACTAAGGGTACATCTAGATAGTGGAGCTATTTTGGGATATGTCTGGTATCCTGAAATAGCATTTTTTACATCTTAGCAACAAGCCCATTATTTTGAAATATATTTGAAATAACAGGCTTGCTATTCTGATGTCCCGGTAAACCTCGTTCCACGAGGATTAAGGGACTGGTCAGAATAGTGGACTATTTCAAAATCTGGTGTTGTGTAGACAGTGCCAAATTTTGAAATAGACTATCTAGGAATAAGCTACACAATTTGCATCGCTTATTTTGAGCTACATGGAGCTGTGTAGATATACCCTAAGATAAGAGTTTAGGGTCTCGCAGTATGAGGGGCCTCTAAAAAAGAAAAACCTGACTCCATTTCACATTTTATCTAAATTGATTGATAAAGCAGATATGGGAAAAAGAAAATTCTTTCTAAATATAGGCATTTTCTTTCAAACATGGCAAACATTTACACATCGGGCTACATAAATACCTTTACTCTTCACTAATTGCTCCTTATTAACAGGCAGAAGGTCTGGGCTGAGAAAAAAATTGTGCTTGTAATATTAATATTTCTACAAGTAAGTCTGCTATTCTGGTAAAATTCTGACCATGCCTTCATAATTTATTTAAATAAATAAATAATCTTGCTGCCAATAAAACTGGGAAAAATGTGAGTTGAGACAGTAGTATTATGAAGCAATCTTGCCAAGCTTATATTCATATGGGACTCATCCTAGGAGTCCTGACATGTATAGTGACCCCCTTGACAAGTAATAGCTGGAAGGCTGCCATCTTTTGTTTTTGGTTCAGCACACACAGTCTATAGTGCCTTCCCTCTCTATATATATATGTATACATTTGTTTATTTCAGTGCATATGCAACTTTCTGCATCATGCTCTACCCATACTTCATGGCTGTGTCTAGACTGGCAAGTTTTTCCACAAAAGCAGCTGCTTTTGCGGAAAAACTTGCCAGCTGTCTACACTGGCCGCTTGAATTTCCACAAGAACACTGACTTCCTACTGTCTGAAATCAGTGCTTCTTGCGGAAATACTATGCTGCTCCCGTTCGGGCAAAAGTCAGTGTAGACAGCTCAGATTTGTTTTGCGCAAAAAAGCTCTGATCGTGAAAATGGCAATCGGGGCTTTTTTGCGGAAAAGCGTGTCTAGATTGGCACGGACGCTTTTCCACAAAAAGTGCTTTTCTGTTACAAGCATTTGTGGAAAATCATACCAGTCTAGACGTAGCCCATGTGATTGAGCTTACCAATGATTGTTTATGGATTTGGATCTTGAGGATGATAAATGTGTTGGCTTCCCTCTGTCGGTTTCAAGAATTTTCACTGTATTTTTATGGTATGGCAAAAGACTAATCCCAACAATTCATTGCTTTATAGCAAAAATTAAATCAGATTAAACATTTGTAAATACATTA